TTGCAGGTTCGTCCTCCGGCGACATAAATCCGGCGAGAAGAACTATGGCAAACAACAAATCCGGTGAAAGAAGTGATCCGGCCGTGAATTTTCACGGTGAAAAATTGGTATTTTTCCGGCAACATTTGGCCATTTTCCGGCCAAAATTTGAAGTAGTGAGTAACCTATATATTATACGAGGACTTTGGTGTCCAAAAGTCGTCTTTAATTCATATATTTTTGGTTAATTTGTTAAGGATTCAATTTTAAAAATTGTTACTTATATTTACCCTAAAACACATAAAGTGATCATAATCTCTTTTTTGTTGTTCATATATACCAAATTGATGCTATTTGTAGGTTATGTTAGGTGTTATTCAACATAAAACAAAAATATAAGATGAGAATGATTATTGTACCAATATTATTTATTAAGATGAGAATGATTATTGTACCAATATTATTTATTTTTGTACCTCTGTTTGTATATCGTAATAACACTTTAATGCTGTTTGGTACCATATCTGTTGGGAAATGTGAAGTTATTTTTTATTTTATCCAATTATTGTTAGCTACATGAAATGGGCACAAAGTGATACACTAGAGAGTTGTACCTACAAAAATGAATTGTTTATGTTCTCTATGCACTTTGGATCAACGTTTGACGAAATGTACACTCTCATTGCTAAGAGGTGGCCGAATGTTAATTTCGAATCCGTCATGCTAAGCTATATTGCGCCAAAGGGGAAAAAAAAAAGAGAGTTAGTTTGTCCGTTGATGGGGATGTACAAAATATGATTCGGTTACATGTTTGTTTGAAATTAAATATTGTAGAGATAGTTGCCATTGAAATAAATCAAAGACTGAATGATGGAGTTAAATCTATCCCGATGAACTTGAACAGGTAATGTTGCTTTCATAATAGTAATAAATTTATTATTGAAATATGGTATAGTCGTATCATATCTTAGTTCATTAATTTTTTAACTAGTTCAATTATTTATAAATATTTGTATTATATTCTTGATATCTATATATATATATAAAAGTTTGATTATTTTTTAAATAATAACTATTTCCCGCAAAAACAATATTGTTTACTAAATCTGGAAATTATTTATACACTTTATGATATGTTTTAAAGTTACAATTTAGGTAATTACGGCTAATTTGTTATAGTAATACTAATCACATATATCAGTATCTAATATCTCAATATACACATTTCCTAAAACACTAACTTTAAGAATACAGTTGTATCATTTGATTTGCGTAATCATATATTTAAAGAAAACTAATAAATATCCGCAATTAAAAAGAAATAAACTTATAAGCTATTTAACTTATGTAATTCGAATTACTTATTTCATATTGTGTAATTTTTAGTTAAAACAATTATGATTTAAATTTATCTTATAATTTTTTTCTAAATTGTTTATTTACTATGACTTTTTACACAATAAAAATGCAACTGATGTGAATAGTACTATATGGGCAAATGTTACAAATTGTTAAATATAACTAGGCTACTACATGGGCGAATTATTTATTCCATATAATTAAGTATAACTATATAGGCAAATGTTCATAAACAATTGTTAAGTATAACTAGACTGTGATTTCTCCTTAGTGACTTTTTTTCTAAATTGTAGACTTTTTCATTCTATAGTTATACTTCACATTTGCATATTTCTTTTCTCAAGACTATAAAAAAAATTTAGGTATATTTATATAAATATTTTTTATTAAGATAATATATAGTTCCATTTGTGTATGTCTTTTTTAATTTGGATTGATAAATTAATTTAATTTTTATTTATAAAGATAGTTGGAATTAATTTTAAATTTCTATATTTAATATGGATGTCAAATCGAAAATCGTAAAAAAATAATTAATTTGATAAATCATATATGAAAAAACCGGCTACATATAAATATGTTATTATCTTTTAAAATATGATAAAAATAAATTATGGTAGTTAATAAATGAAATAAACGAGAATAAATAATATGAGTTTCCTATGGTAAGATTTGATTTTGAGAAAGAGAAAAAATGAAAAATATAAATGCATAATTACCAAAATAGGAAATAAACTATTTATGTCAAGTACCAAACATGATTTCAAAGCAATAATATTTATACAAACTAAATTATGAAGCACATCATTTTGACGTGCAAACATCGGAAGCGTGCAAACTTGCCACTTAGACTTAGCACGTTCTGAAATTATATATAGAGTGGATAAGAGAAATTAAATATGCTTAATTGTTATATATTAATGACAAAATCTATCCAAATATAATTACAATTTTAAAGGGAACAACAAAATTGTTCTAAAATAATAAAAATGTGCAATTTCAGGTCATGGTTAATATAAATTATAATTATATTTCTATAAACATCATTTGAGACCGAAATTCGGTGTTTTTATGTGTTCATTACAAGTGGTACTAAAGACCCAATATTTGGTACTAAAATACCGAACGATAGTACTACCTTACTCTAGGTCTGGTACCAATTATTGTAAATGTTGACCACAATTGAATAATCTATTTTCGTTGACCAAAAGTTGGTACTAAT